TTGATCAGCCGGAAAATGCCAAAGAATGGGTAGAGTTCTTCGACAATCTAACCGAGGAACAGGTGCAATAGATGTTTAAATGGTTCCCAATAGATGAATTCATCATCAGATCCAGGGACGCTCCACACCTGGTGTTGATTGGGTTGAGAGAGATATACCCTTATGTCCCTATCTGAGTTATGAGGCAAGCAGGCAGGAAACAGGTTATACAAGGGTTGCCAGGATGATTCATTTCAGGGCAGACTTTCAAGATGACGACGTCCCTTAGAAGTGCCAAGCTCAGCACATGTGGCACTGCAAAATCATTGTGGAAAAGAACACCGTTGAACTAGACAGGTATCATGCAGGGTGTGAGCCTCTCTACCCAGCATGGTTGGAGGACAATCTAAAAGGAATGGTGATGCTAGGAGCCGGTCGAGGGAATAGGATAATAAACGAAGAAGTTGAAGCTCAAGTCAAATACAACAGGCTGCGCAAGAGGGTCCATGACTCTGAGAATGAGCACCGAGAAATACATGAGAGGAATTTGAGGTTGATCGAAGAAATGACAGTCACTTCCAACAAGAAATTGGAATAACTGGAGCGAGGAATAGTAGAGCTAGAAGGCAAAGTCATAAAGAGGATCGAGGATTGCTAGAATGTTGAAAGAGCTGAAGGAGGACATCTGGCCAGAGCCTATTTGTTGCTGGATCTGCGCGAACTGAGGGACCTGTATGATGGAGTTAGGAAGATCAAATCTGGGGAAGGTCCTTCTGGGACCAAATAGGCTAGATTTATTTGTTTTCCTATAATGTAATAAGACCAAGTACCATTAGTGACTTATTTTTTCTATTATTTTAGTGTCATATGGGATTCGTCTATTTTTACATTATGAAAGGAAGGATTTATTTGCATCTAAAGTTCTCCAAATCTATTTGTCGCTAGGCCTACCTCAAGCACAACGAGGCTCCCAAATTAACACACAAATTTACATTTCCACAGTATGTGTTTAAATACTACAAACATTTCAGAATTCTCACTGACTTGCTACCTTTTTTGTTTTTCCTTATTTTTGATTATTCCCATTCCCTTAGGTTGGTTCACTCATACTGGCCTCATCAATGTATCATACCAGATCTAGAGGCCATCCACCTCTTCCTCTTCCAAGCAACACAAAAGGTAGAGAAAAGGCAAAAATGGACGACTTAAGTGGTATCTGAAAGGAGAATATTGAGAACGCAGAAACCTCAGATAGCCATAATACTCCGACCCCAAATGATCTTGTCTTGAGACTGGAACAAAAGATATTGGAACTGCAAGGAGAACTTGAGCAGGTTCGCTACTTGGCAAACTTGTCACTCACCCTAAATGTTCCTAACATCCACCAACAAAACACAAAGAACCCAGCACCTCCTCAAAACACACAAAACCAACATCCACAAAATCCTCCCGCACCAAATCAATACACAACTCCACCCCAAAATCTCAATCCAATACCGATACCAACTCCAGCACAACATCACCACCAACAAATTCAATACCCACCAACCAGCCGTTGTTCATCACACTTATAACTCCTAACCATCCCACTTCCAATCACCACCAATTCGCAAAAATTATCCAAGACCAAGACCCAACTTCGACCGCAAGCCACCCAAACAATACACCGCCATTGCTGAGCCCATCGACCAGTTGTATGAAAGGTTAAAAGCCGCAAGTTACGTCACTCTTGCTCCCATTGTGGCATTAGAAAATCCATCCCAATGGGTCAATCCGAACAAAACTTGTGCATGCTACTCCGGTATGAAGGGGCACGCTATTGATGAATGCCGAACATTGAAGGATAAGATCCAGACATTGATTGACAACAAGGTCATACAGGCGAAGGAAGCCGCACCTAATGTCCGCAACAACCCCCTCCCTGATCATAGAGGTGGTGGAGTACATGTGATAGAGACGAACGAAGAGTGGGACCTCAAGGGGTTGATTGGGCTTATTCGAGAAGGTGATGACTTTAAAGTTGCAGTCACACTTACTTCTATTGTGGTACAGACTCAGTCTCCAATCGAGGTTAAGATAACTGCATCAGTTCCATTCGAGGTACAGGTGGCTCCGCCTGTGGCCACCCCCACTCCATTTGAAGTTGAAGTAGTCACACCTTTCACTGTGACAGTATCAACCACACCTCCATTCAACTCAAAAGCAATAATCTGGGATTACGTTGCCGAGGCTCCGCGAAAAGGGAAGGCCAAGGTAGAAGAATCTGATGTTGCACAAGGATTGATAGGACTAGAAGAGTCTATACACCTGAACACTTGGGAGGATCAAGCAAAGATGCCACTACCAGGCAGCGCGTCATTGAGGCAGGTCCAGATGACCTGTGGAGGAAAGTACAAGCAAAGGAGTATTCCGTCATTGACCATCTGAACAAAACCCCAGCTCAGATATCTATCCTGTCATTGTTGCAAAATTCAGAGGCGCATAAGAACGCTTTAATGAAAGTGCTGAGCGAAGCTTATGTACCCTATAACATTACTGGTAGAGAAATGGCTAATATGGTAGGGAAAGTACTGGAAAGTCATAAGATTATCTTCCACAAAGATGAGCTACCGCCTGAGGGGTTGAATCACAACCGAGCATTGCATATTATAGTGCAATTTGAAGACAAATTCATTGCCAGGGTCTTGGTTGACTGAGGTTCAAGCCCCAATATTTGTCCGTTGGACACTCTGAAAAGGTCGGACAAAGGTTTTCATGAAATACGGGTAGGAAAAATGAACGTGAAAGCTTTCGATGGGTCCCAAAGGGCCACAATTGGGGAAATCAACCTTTGCTTGCAGATGGGGCCTACTTGGTTCGACATTGAGTTTTAGGTGCTCGACATACCAGCTTCATATAATCTTCTGTTGGGCCGGCCATGGATCCATGCTGCTGGAGCCGTGCCTTCCACACTACATCAATCCGTGAAGTTCGAACGGAATCGTCAGGAGGTGATCATTCATGTAGATGGGAGTAACCCCATTTATACCAGTCAAACCATCCCGGCTATTGGACATAGAAGAAGGTTAGGAGGGGAAACCTATCATCACATTGAACGGGTCAATGCCGTCGAGAAGGATAAATGGTGGAGCAGTAGAATAGAAAGCATATTGGCATGGTCTGGATATGAACCCGGCAAAGGGATGGGAAAGAACCTCCAAGGTATCACTAAACCAATACAGCTAAAAAATCATGGTACCATATTTGGGCTCGGATACCAGTACACATGGCAAGAGAATAGAAATTGGTTGCCTCCATAGTGTGGACCATACTACCCTATCGAGCAACCAGTGCCACGCTTGGAACAAGCTTTTCACCAAGCTGATATGATATGGGGGACTGCAGAAGGGGAAGCACTAGCTGGGTTGAAGAATTTGTTCTTGGAGGATGAGGACATGGACTGCATTGCCATAACTGAGAAAGAAGAGGAAGAAGGTCTTACCATTCAGACTGTAAAGAAGGGAGTTGTTCTCAGGAATTGGACCGCTATACCATCCCGAGCCCGCCGAGTCCCTGGGTAGTTTGACAGATTTTACTTTTATAGCCATTCTAGGCATTTAAGATTTCCAGTAATTTTGATTTAGTTGTTTCAAAATAAATGCTCGATTCATCGAGCCGTACTTGTCTAAGTGATCTTTTCGGTTTTAATCAAATGTATTTGCTCTTTATTATTCATTACTATTTCTGCACTTTTTCTTTCTACATCGTTATTATTACTTTTCCTAATGAACCAATGACTGTGACATGTAATGAGGCAACACAATATAAGAATAGTGATTCAGATGAAGAAGATGAGAGACCCGAGAAAATTGTCAGGGAGGTTGAAAATTTTGAGAATAAGCCTAAGTCCAATCTGGACGAAACCGAAGCATTAAATTTGGGAGACGCCGAGACCGTCAAGGAGACTCGCATCAGCATTCACTTGTCACCAATAGAGAAGGAAGAGTACATTCATTTCCTAAAAGAGTATAAGGACATTTTCACATGGTCGTGTGATGATATGACCGGTTTGAGCACGTCCATAGTGGCTCACATGTTGCCTACTAATCCCATGTGTCCGCCAGTGAAGCAGAAACTCAAAAGGTTCAAACCTTACATGAATTTGAAAATCAAGGAGGAAGTTGCCAAGCATATCAAAGCCGAGGTTCTCAGGGTAGTTGAATACCCAACTTGGTTAGCTAACAATGTGCCAGTTCTGAAGAAGGATGGGAAGGTCAGGGTATGTGTTGACTATCGAGATTTAAACAGAGCAAGTCCCAAGGATGACTTCCCACTGCCAAATATACATATCCTGATCGATAATTGTGCCAAACATGAACTCCAATCCTTTGTAGATTGCTTCGTGGGTTATCATCAGGTCTGGATGGATGAAGAAGATGCTGAGAAAACAGCTTTTATCATACCTTGGGGGGGTATATTTCTATACGATGATGCCATTTCACTACAAAAAAAAATTGACTTTAGCGACAAACGAATTTCATAGCTAAATAGTATATTTCCATCGCTAAACAGGTTTATCGACGGAATAGCGACGGATTTCTGTCCGTCGCTACTTTGCTCGTAGCTAACCCTTTACTAACGAAAAAATTAAATCCGTTGGTAAGTTAGCGACAAATTAACTATGGTTGGTATCTGTTGCTACTTTTAGCGACAACACATATCCGTCGCAATTATCATCAATTTTGTCGCCAAATCGACAAGTCATTTCGTCGTCGGATTTAATTGACAACGAATATTTTCTGCAGCTAATCCGTCGCTAATATTATTGACACATATTTGCCTTTCTTTTGGCGACGAAATTCTTTTGTCGGAAATCTATCGCATCCTGTTATTCTATATTAGTTATAGCTACGAAGAAAATCCATTGCAAATTATATTTTTCTTATTTTATTTAATAAAATACATATTGTTTAAGAATATATAAGATACTCTTAATAATAACTGAAATTCATAGAAATTAATATTCTACAAGATCCAAAATAGATACCAAAATGCAAATGTATAATTAAGATTAAAACATTTACAATACTAAAATAAAGTTCAAACAAAAATAGTTAATTACTGAGAGAATGGAGAGTGAAGGTCATCATCAGAAAGTGATGCATGAACCTCGTTAATACCAAAACATCTACAATGCCAAAAAAAAGTTCAAATAAAAATAGTTAACTACTGGGAGACTGGAGAGTGAAGGTCATCATCAGAAAGCGATGCATGACCCTCATTAATATTAGTAGTAAGAGGAGGAGCTGGAGGTGTCATAGCTGATGGGTGATCGGTATGATTATCTTGCACATGTGATGGTGAAGCTATCAATCCTCTTACTCGCTCAGCCAACACAGGAAGCATGTGATCAGTCAGTACAGGAACCATATGATCAGTCAATGCAGGAATCAATCGCATCACTAACTCATCCAAATTCTCCATCGGTGCTGATTGAGCATTCGGAGGTGCTGCTGATGAAGAAGCATCAGATCTAGAAGAGGCACGAAGATTCGGCCCATAAAAATATTTTTCTTGAGATCTAAGACCATATATTCTTCTCTTCTTTTCCCCTCCCGTGGCTTGATAAAATGCTAAAGATTGATCAATATCAGATTGTGTTTGTGTTTGTTGTTGTAATATTTGCTGATATTTTTCCTGTAAATACCATAATAATTAGTGAAATTCATTAATGATGAAGATGAACATTAGGGGAAAAGAAACGATAAAAGCATAAATAAGTTGACTGTTAAGTTCTTCATTTAGTGTATATGGAGGATTCCATTATTTTCACAACTTTCCTTTTCCACCAAACACAATTTCTTTAGCTAAAAGCCTTTAATCCCATTATTACTCCTTCAATAAACAGTAAACCCCACAACCAAAAATACAATCTTGAATCATTAGATTGGGCCAAAAAAAGGAGAATATATGGAAGTTGGCAATAGAAGAAGAGCATATCATCAAGAAATAATGGTAGTGTTATAGCCTCAGGTTCTGTCTGGGAAAACAGAATGAAACTTGATGAAGTAAAAGGTGGAATCAAAGTACTCATTAGTAACAATTATGAAGAAACCCCAGATGAAAATGATGATAAATATTGCACCTTTACTAATGGAAACAACAATCAAGTGGGGCGTTAATGTCATAAACAAAGTCAGTAAAATTATCGAATTTTGGACTTACATGTACAAGTCGGGATCGCTCACTAACAAAAGATTTTTCATCATGACCATGTAGCTCACTTGGTGTTGGATCTCGACTCTTTTCAATAGCCTATACAAAAAACGAAGAACTTAATTTCCTTTGATAAGGTGACAGTTTACTAATGGAGGTACCAAGAAGGTATACAACAGTACAAGTACAAGAAGAATAGCCACAAAACAGTTTTCGGATAACAATTTTCTAATTCTACATAGTTCTACCAGACCATGGATTTTTATTAACTACATGTAACATCATTGGCTTTGGCTATATTCCCAGTAAGCACTTGAAACTGATTTCCCCTTTATCCTTCAGAGGATTTAATCCAATTTCTCCAGTAAAATAAAAAGAGAAGAGCAAAGTTCCCCTAAACTTCAACTTATAATTAAAGTTGTCCTCTAGCACATACTTAGGAAATTTTCTATTTATTCACATAAATTGAATACACGGATACAATAGTCCATAATAACTCACAATCCGAATTTTCTAAACCAAAATAATTAATAACAATTCCCCTTTGTCAGTCGTCCTCTTCCCTCTAGCATTTCTTACCATCTTCTCAGAATCAAATCAAACACAGGAGAAGACTCGCCATTCATGAGCGTAAATCCTCCACTATACATATAGAAAAACTAAAGATGCTTCCTGTTATTTGCATACACCACAAATATAACAAAGCATGTCTATCATAGAGCAACAAAAGTTAGAAAATATTACTACTTACTAATAGTAAGTTGCTCCTCTGTTCCACTCAACCTATTAAGAAGCTGAAATATGTGTACTGAATTCTAGTGATTACCCGTTACGAAGAATATACTTACAATTCTTTTCCGATGTTCCCCAATGGAGATAGAGCCGCCCGTGTGAGTCCCAATAGCAACGACAGTCCTACCGCCACAATGATATTTTGCATTTATTTCTGATTTTTTGCAGTCAAACCTTTCACCCAATCAAACAAGATATCTGTTGCTGCCTTGTCTATTGTATATGCAGCTTTGGGATAGCTTCCACTTGCATTCTTTTCCAAATGAGGTCGATCACAATATTCTACCATATCTAGACGTGCTTTTGGATTGTCTTTGGTTTTGTCTTTAACATTAAGAATTGTGTTAAAAATATTATCAAAGACATTCTTTTCAATATGCATGACGTCAAGATTATGTCGAATCATGTTGGAACTCCAATAAGGCAAATCCCAAAAGATACTTTTTTTCCAATCGACAAGATTTACATATCCTCCGATTAACTTCTTCTGCATCCAGCTCTGTCACTTTCCTTATCTCCAATTCACTAATTTGGTTCAAAATTTCCTCTTCCGATCTAAAGGTTGGTGGTCGCCTTTTGACAGCTTGACCTTTAAGAAAGTTTTTACGATCTTTCCTAAATGGATGATTTTCGTCAAGAAACATTCTATGACTGTCAAACCAAGATATTTTTCTACCATGATGTAATCTAAAAGATTGTGCTTCCTCCATACAGTAAGGACATGCTAACTTCCCTGCGGTACTTCATCCTGATAACATAGAATATACTGGAAAGTCACTAATTGTCCACATCAAAGCTGCCCTTAATTGAAAGTTTTGCTTTTTTGAGATGTCAAATGCTTCTACACTGTCCTCCCACAACAATGTCAGTTCTTTTATTAGAGGTTGTAGATAAACATCAATTTTTTGCTTAGGATTGGTTGGTCTTGGAAAAATGACATTTAAAAACATATATGCCTCCTTCATACACATCCACAGAGGTAAATTGTATGGAATGACAATCACTGGCCACGAAGAATATTTCCTCCCAGATTGACCAAATGGCTGGAAACCATCAGTACATAACCCTAACCTCACATTTCTTAGTTCAGCAGCAAAAAAAGAATGAGTTTTATTAAAGTGCTTCCAAGCCTCAGAGTCTGATGGATGACGCATTACCCCCTCCTCTTGTATATGCTCATGATGCCATCTCATGTCAGCTGCTGTAGCATGGGATGCATATAATCTCCGCAATCTAGGAATTAAAGGAAATTAATACATTTTCTTGTAAGGTACCAATTTCCTCTTACGAGAGCTGACACGATGCTTATATCTCACGTAGCCACAAAATTTACAAGATGTGAGGTCCTCGTCCTCACCCCAGTACAACATACATTCTGAATTACAACAATCAATCTTTTCAATGGGCAAACTCAAGCTACGCACTAGCTTCTTAGTTTGATAATAGTTATCAAGCACTATGTTATCTTTAGGTAAAGCCTCTTTAAACAGTTGCATCATTTGGTCATAACCCCTTTGTGATAAAGAATTCTCCATTTTAATGTTTAACATCCTAGAAACTACTGCAAGTTGATCACGCCCAACTATGCCTTATAAAAAGGACTAAGCGGTCGTTGCAAATATAATCCGGTTTACAAGTCCGGAAGTGAATCCCACAGAGAACTAAGGCCTAGCTACATTTGTTCACTATCACCAAGAAAACAAGCTTAAACAGTTCCTAACTTATAGATATTAAGATTCTTGTGTTTAACTAATTAACTAACAAATTAAAATAGTAAATTAACAACTACAGATACTGAGGGTTAGAGACAAGATTAAGGAAGTTTAGAGTTATGATTTCCCCAATTGTCGGAATTCTTCCCGCTATGTCTTCTATAATTTCGCATAAGTATTCTCTACCGATCATGAGCACTCTTATTACCGTACATTTCTCCTGAGTAATCACGACAATTTACTAGACGCACTCTCCCGAGCTACGCTAGCTGACTTTTAATACAGCCCACTTCAAATCGCACCCAAGGCTTCGTTATCCCTAATTGTGCCTTTAAACCCTTGGTTATTGATTCCTCACATACGTCGGGAGTGATGTTGTTCAACAACTACCTAAATATGCACTCTCTCCCGAGTAATACATACTAAATAGGTACAGCTAATTGAGGAACCTATCAATTAACTACAACAAGAACGTAGTTGAACAAATAGAGATTATACTACAGCTCAATTATATAAAAACATAACAAGAATTTATCCTACAAAAGGTTCCATCAAAACCCTAAATAACAAATTAGCTATTCATAATAGTATGTAAAACTACAATACTAAAAGTCATAACCAACAATGAAAAATAGGAAGAGGAAGGAAAAACTCGTAGAAGAATTCCCCGCCTTGCTCCTATTGTGTCTCTGCCTCCTTAGGTCTAAAATATGTCAAAAGTATGTCCAACCTCCTCAAAATAGCGTTTTTACATGTATTTATACCAAGTAGGGTCGGGCCTAGACGAAAAAACCCTTTCTTGCGCGAACTAGGACTTCGCTCTGTAAAAGTTGAACAGCCACGCCGTAGGCTGCGCCGCACCATGCGGCGCGTTAGTGTATTTTATCAGCAGCCTCAAATTTTCGCATCAGGCAGCATTTTACACTACTGCGCCGTGCCTTGCGGCACCCCATGCGGCGTGGTAGTGTAATTTTCTCAGAGTGAACTTATTTCGTCCTCTTTTAACATCCGGACTTGGTACACTACCTCCAAACACGATACCGGCTTAATGTATTGGGGTTTTACTCAGACTTCAAAGCTCCAAATTGATCAATTTAGCTCCAAATTAACTTTTGAGCGCAAGATCACTTCCTTCAAGGCATAAAACACGTACTAAGTGCAATTCACTATCATTTGAACTCAAACGCACGTAAAAAATGCAGTTATTGGCATGTAATACTACAGCTAAAACACGGGTTTCTAGCTTAACATCAACACCCCACACTTAAAGCATTGCTCGTCTTCGAGCAATCAAACTACACTTTATATAGACACGGCATTTTTAAACAATTCTCCTAACTCATCACACCAAAAATATTTAAAATAGACTAAGCACAAAAGCGTAACATCTTCACCTCAAGATTTGACTCACAAGTACCATGCATTATTCACAACTCACCCACTTACTCTAACATAGAGGTCAAGGATTGCCTTTCCTTCATGAATCAAGTACCCTCGCACACAAAAAAGAGTAGTTCCACACAATAAACTTTAAGAACACCTAGGAACTCAAGATAGAAAGAATTCACTCACTCTCAGAAATAACATTCATATGCCACAAAAGATGCACCATAGGCTTGCCCGTAGTGTACTACTCTACTAATCGAGCTCATTTAGTCTAGGATCAAGTAGGACTTTATTTGGTTGTAATGTAGGATGAGGGACGGGTAGGATACATTTAGATATAAGAGTGACTACACCTCCCTAAGTACTTTAATACATACACTTTAACATTCAAGCACATGCTTATGTCAAACTAAAAATCCACCTTCTCATCAATGTATATTAACTCCCAAACTTCTTTAAGCACCAGCACAATTACATCAAGAGTCACCACTTATCATGGAATTTTGTTTCCACAACAATACAACTTTTTTTCCTTTTTTTTATTCATGTGGCTCTTACTTTTTTTAAAATAGTGCACATTTCTCCTTATTTCATTAGTTCCACTCAAAATCCAAACCAACCACCCCACACTTTAACTTTTACACAGTTCATAACAATTCAAGTGCTCATGAGAGGTTAAAAGGTTCAAATAGATGATTAATTCAAACAAATGGGTAAGGCTTGTAATGTGGTTGCTAAAGAAACAAGATTACACGCTCAAAGGGGTTAACTACGATACATAACAATTAGGTGGGTAAAATATACATATCTGGCTCTACAAAAAAACGTCTATATCACTTCCAAGACTGAACAAAACTACTATTTCGCTTTGCAAACACACAGGGCAAGTTCTAGGCATCAAATGCAATGTACAGAATAAAACAACCTCACACACACATTGCACATAACTCACTCAGGATTCGATTCATCAAGACACTCTAGTCAAAGCAGTTAAGCAAAGTTAAAATCATACAATTTAAGGTACTTCTACAAGAGTCAAAAACTGAGCCTAAGCGTCACAGCCAAAGTACTCACTATTCTCAAGGCATAACAAAGTCAAGAGATATTGCTTTAATTCAAAACACAGCACAATGGCTTATATTCCTAAAAAAACTCACTACACCCGGTTCAAACAGAACCCTTGAAAAAGAACCGTGGTTTAAAGAAAAACTAAGGGGTAATTGCTACACTACCTAACAAAAGAAAATCATTTTGTTTTTTTTTTAGACTTAAATCCCTCAATAAAATTGTCTAGTATATCCATCGTCGGAAAAAGTCCAATCTTTACTATGTAAAAAAAATATTCAATTAAACTAACATAACTAAAATAGCATAGAAAGTCACCCAGACAATCTCATCACCCCACACTTAAAATTGTGCATTGTCTCCAATGCACACCATACTAATAAGAGGGTAAAAGAAACTCCCTAGCAGGCCAAAGGACGAAGCACTACCAGCTCATGGGGTACTCAGACTTCTCCCGGGTTTGGTCCTTTGTGCGGGTACCTCACACTTAGTTCCAACCATCTGGCTTGTTGTTGCATCCTTCCAATAGTTTTGCTTTCCATGCTCCTAGAAACTCAAAAATCAACACAACAAAAATAATACAATAAAAAAAATAAAACAAAGCAGTAAAGCTGGGTTGCGTCCCAACAAGCGCTTGATTTAACGTCGCGGCACGACGTGAATCACTTTTTGCCTCTACTTTGAACTTATGAATTGGACCCCTAGTTTTGATTTTGCTCTGTGATCATGCTTCTGGGGTGGCAAAACGAATTTGACTAGCCCAATAAAATAATGTAGTATTCTGCACTTCTTAACCTTTGGATGAGGTGTGTATTCCTGACTTTCTGGCAAGAAGCATTTCAGAATGTAAGCACCTTGTTCCTCATTCCTTGACTCCTCAAGTGGCTCGGACGACTCTATTTCCATATCATCATCCAAACACAATGTGGAAAAATGCTTGGAGTGTGAACCAATGCGCTCAACTACAAGAACATTGGGACTGTCTACATTCTCAACACTGATGACAATAGAGTCAACCAAATATGTATCCTCAATATCCTTGGTTGACTCTAGTATCTCTTCTACGACATCGGCATCCTCAAAATCAAGTTCGATTGATTGTTGGTGTTTTACTCTGGCCTTCTCCTCTAGCTCCTCAATTCTTGTATCTAATTCACGCTCTTCTTGGATACTATTCACAATATTGGCTTGTTGAGCATTAAAATTTCAACCAGTTGAGTCATATGAGCATTCAAGTTGTGAATAGTTTCCTCTTGCCTTTCTATCTGCAGTTGTAATTTACTATGTTGTTCCAAAATGCACTTTAACATATCTCCGATCTTCTTTAGGTCAGCTTCCCTGGATTCTTTGTTCTTATTAACTTCACCAGAAAAAGAAGAACCATCAAAAATAAGGGGTTAAGGGAAGGTAAGAAATATAAGCACAACCGTAAAAGTGACCATCTTGACCACCACACATATCACACACATTCCACACATAAGATTGAGTTGGTGCACAAAACTCGTTCTCGGAAATATTTTGATAATTTTGCGCTGGGTGGTTTCCTTCACAATATGCATAAGGAGGATTAAAAGTAGAATTACCACCATCAAAATTCTCATAATTCCATGATGCCATGTTTCTCAAATAAAACAAAAATAAAAAAATTTTAAAAAAAATCAAATACTAAAAAATAAAATAAAAGTTCAAACTTGAAACTTAGCAATATGTACACCTACAACTACACCGTTAGTTCCCCGACAACGGCGCCAAAATTTGATCACGCCCAACTATGCATTGTAAAAAGGACTAAGCGGTCGTTGCAAATATAATATGGTTTACAAGTCCGGAGTCGAATCTCACAGAGAACTAAGGCCTAGCTACAGTTGTTCACTATCACCAAGAAGACAAGCTTGAACAGTTCCTAACTTATAGATATTAATATTCTTGTGTTTAACTAATTAACTAACAAATTAAAATAGTAAATTAACAACTACAGATACCGAGGGTTAGAGACAAGATTAAGGAGGTCTAGAGTTATGATTTTCCCAATTGTCGGAATCCTTCTCGCTATATCTTCTATAATTTCGCTTAAGTATTCTCTACCTATCATGAGCACTCTTATTACCGTAAATTCTCCAGAGTAATCACGACAATTTACTAGACGCACTCTCCCGAGCTACGCTAGCTGGCTTTTAATACAGCTCACTTCACATTGCACCCAAGACTTCGTTATCCCTAATCCCGCCTTTAAACCCTTGGTTATTGATTCCTCGCATACGTCGGGAGTGATGTTGTTCAACAACTACCTAAATATGCACTCTCTCCCGAGTAATACATACTAAATAGCACAGCTAATTGAGGATCCTATCAATTAACTACAACAAGAACATAGTTGAACAAATAAAGATTATACTACGGCTCAACTATATAAAAACATAACAAGAATTTATCCTACAAAAGGTTCCATCAAAACCCTAAATAACAAATTAGCTATTCATAATAGTATGTAAAACTACAATACTAAAAGTCATAACCAACAATGAAAAATAGGAAGAGGAAGGAAAAACTCGTAAAAGAATTTCCCGCCTTGCTCCTATTGTGCCTCTGTCTCCTTAGGTCTAAAATATGTCAAAAGTGTGTCCAACCTCCTCAAAATAGCATTTTTACATGTATTTATACCAAGTAGGGTCGGGCCTAAACGTAAAAACCCTTTCCTGCGCGAACTAGGACTTCGCTCTGTAAAAGTTGAACAGTCGCGCCACAGGCTGCACCGCACCATGCGGCGCATTAGTGTATTTTATCAGCAGCCTCGACTTTTCGCATCAGGCAGCATTTTACACTGCTGCGCCGCGCCTTGCGGCGCCCCAATATAATTTTCTCAGAGTGAACTTATTTCGCCCTCTTTTAACATCCGAACTTGGTATACTACCTCCGATCACGATCCCGGCTTAATGTATTGGGCTTTTACTCAGACTTCAAAGCTCCAAATTGATCAACTTAGCTCCAAATTAACTTTTGAGCACATGATCACTTCCTGCAAGGCATAAAACACGTACTAAGTGCAATTCACTATCATTTGAACTCAAACGCACGTAAGAAATGCAGTCATTGGCATGTAATACTACGGCTAAAACACGGGTTTATAGCCCAACATCACAAGTTGAGAGAGAGAACAACCAGGATACAATTCTGCATCGGCAGCCTGTAGCAAATCATAGAACTTCTGGGATTCAGGATTAGGATCCTTCTCCATTGAAGGTTCATAAGGAAGAGATAACTCAGGTTCAACATTACTATCAGATTGCCAAGTTGAACCCTGGCTAATTTTGGGCCCAGCTATATCAAAAATCATTCGTCGGTATGGATTCTCATATCCAAGTTCTGGTTGAGCACCACTATTCAAGTTACTACTAGAAGACAACTCATTTGTCAGACATCTTTCCCCTTGATATATCCAAACAAAATAATTCTCAACAAATCCAAATTGCAAAAGGTGTAATCTAACGGTTTCAACATCAATGTATTTAATGTTGTGACATTTTTTACAAGTACATCTAACATTGTCACCACTCATGCGATTTCGTTGACAACGTGCAAAGTGGAGAAACTTATCCACGCCGGATATGAAACATGAATTAATACCCCCTCGTCCATCTAACCTCTCATACATCCAACCACGCTCTAGATTCTCCATTTTCCTATTTAATATTAAAATTAAAACGACAAACAAATATTATTATTTTTTATAAGTATTACATAAGAATAAAGTAAAGAAAAGATATACTTAACCTTACCAAACACCTAGTACTACCTTTTAATGCACGAAGGAAAGAAACCAAAATACATGGCAGCAAAAAAACTCAAGTAGTTATTTTTATTTTATAACTCATAAATTATTAAAGAAAAAGAACATCAAAGATACATCGAGAAGCTAATGTAAGATTAAATAGATCGCAAACACATCAGAAAGCTAGTGTACATCAGAACATCACAAATAAATCCCTAGCAGTCACTACATATAAACAATCTCAAATACATCAGAACATCACAAATACATTAGAAAGCTAATGTAAGCTATGTGAATATTTAAGACAATTAAGAATTATCTCGCATCCCTAGTTGTGACTATATGTAAGATTAACCATTTGTGAAAAAGCTAAAATTCTAAATAACATTGACATTTCATTTTAAGAAAGCGCTAAGAAGAACAAGAAAAGAAGGGAAGCGGGAGGGGAGAGAGGAGAGAGATAGTGAGAGTAAAATATATGTCAAACAAAATAAATTAAGACCTATGTATAAGTTAATAGAAAGATACCAATACCTTAACTAATCCCTCAGAAATCTTTGAGATTGTTTCGTACCGTTTCCTGAATTGAAGCTGAGAAAAAATAAATTTAGTCAGACGGATGCAAAAAGAATACCACATAGATTTATATTGTAATATGAAGAACCACATGCAAAAAGCTACACAGCTCATATTCCAAGGAAATAGAGAAAAATAAAAATACAAATCAGTAACCTAATTCAAGGAAAAGGTTTGGATGCAGCTAATAATAATGGGGGATAATTCACTTGTTGGATGTCAAGGATCTGATGCTAATAAGCTACTAAATACAACAACTGTTGCTAGGAATATTAATGTTGTTCCTGTTAAAACAGCCTTGGGGAGGGTTTCACAGGACTCAGCTGCAGCTGGACAGATTGTGCGGCCTATGGATGGTGTTTCACAGGATGTGAATGCAAGTTTGGAGACTACTAGTGCTGTGAATGCAACAGGAGTGAAGGAGTGAATGTTACAGTTGCTACAGGTGATAAGGCAGTGATCAAGGAGGATCAATTGCCTAAAAATTTGGTGCGCGATCAACCTGCTGCTGCAGTTGGTGAATCAGCTGATAAATCAGCAGGCCTTAAAGCTACTGGGCAAGATCATGTAGGTGTTATGGCTTTGAAGTGTGCAGCTACTACAGGTTCTAAAGCATCAAATATATAGGCTAAACATCTTCAACTTTTAGCTGGAGTTGAGCATACTGCTTTTGGAAGTTTGAAACCTATTGTTGCTATTGCTGGTGCGTTGAATACAACAGCTGATCGAGCTGCTACTGATGTTGTTGAATCAGTGATTCAAGGAGCTAAGGTTTCTAATGTTATTCCTACAAGAACTGGGCAAAACACCACTGGTAAGAGGCAGACTAATGTGCCAGAAGCATCAAAGGCAGTTAGTGTTGCTAACTCTTTATAGATTTTAAAAATATGTATCTATCATATTTTATAATGATTATTTTGGAGTTAAAGATGTACATATCCAAACATTATAATATACTGTAGTTAGATCTTGTACTGTAGTGACCGCAACAACTTCCAACAAGTATCAAAACCATATATTGCCAGTTTGAAGTGAAAATACAATTTCCATGTTCTTGTGAAAAGCTAATAACTGATGTGTCTAATACTAGTATTTAGAGCACAAGCAACCTTATTTGAGCCCATGTAACTCTAGAGTAGTGATGCCATGCCTTGATGAGCTCATCATAAATGCAAGAATTATCACCTAGAGGTGGAAGCTCAACTCATAAATATGTTGTATTGTACTATATTAGTGTGCTCACTTGTACTATTGTCCTTAATGCCATCGATGTGATTTTCATATTCACAATCATCTTCCCAGAAAAGTATCATATTATATGCATAGGCTTATGTAGTTCTCTATCCGTAGTCAGATTCTTCAGCAAGCCTTATTCTCAGAAGTAAAGTGCACTTGAATTTTGCAGTCTTTATAAGAGGTGGGGACACCTTCATACTCTACCTCAGTGAAAAGCATGAAACTCGAAATAATCATACAAATAGTACTAATAACATTACCCAAATAGCTTTGTCATTTTGAGTAATCATCAGTTGAAATGTACAAATCTTTTTGAGAACTCAATGCATTAAAAATAAAGGTAAAAAAAGAAGTAAACGCCTTCATCGTCCTTAGGGGATTTTGGGTGAGTGAAGGCTAACTTCGCTAACACAGATCTAAAGACACCTAACTTCAATTTTAATCACTAAATATCACCAAAATTCGTATAAATCAAGATTTCAACACAAAAGAAACCCCCAAATCAGATTTTAGCAACAGTAAGTAGTAATAATATACATATTTATGCACAAATGAGACATACCCAGAATATGTCAACTCCTACTTCATATTTGACTTCACATACTACAAAGAAAAAGAGGGAAGAGGTAAAATGCTTGATTTATTTTACATCTACCAAAACCCTACAAAATTTACTGTAAAAAATTTGCTAATAAACAGAGAAAGAAGTAGAGACATACCAGTCTTTTAGAAAAGAAATGACTTAGTAGTGCATCTGGGAAGATTAGTGGAAGATTAGAGTAGAAGAAGAAGGAGGAGGAAAGGGCTCGTTACTCACGAAGAAGGAAAGGGGCTCGTTACTGTGAGGGAGGGTCTTAGGACAAAGTGAAAATATTAGATGCCTTTTTTTTAATACCAAGCGACAAACAATTCTGTTGCAACAAGGGAAAGATAGTCTCATTAAAGAAGGAAGATTAGCGACAAATACGGTCCGTCGCTAAATACGTTGCTAAAATGTCATACATTTTGTCATCCAGATTTCCTCGTTTATTTTGTTGCTAAATTATGGGCGCCAATATTTAGCGCCATTTTTTAGCGACGAATGTTTTGTTTGGTCGCTATGTTGTCGCTTAATTAGATACTAATTCCTCTATTTACCTATTCTGCGACCAAACTCTATTTTCGTTGTTAATCCGTCGCTACTTAGCGACGGAAAAGTATTTGTCGCAAAAATCCGTCGATAATCAAGTGTTTTTGTAGTGTTTGGTCTGAAGAATGCTGGGGCTACTTACATGAGAGTCATGACAACCATCTTCCATGATATGATACACAAGGAGATAGAGGTGTATATGGACGACATCATTATCAAATCCAAGAGGGTCGCATATCACATAGCGAACTTGAGAAGGTTCTTTGGCAGGCTAAGGAGGTACAACTTGAAACTAAACCTCGCAAAATATGCATTCGGGGTTCCCGCAGAAATATTATTGGGATTCATCGTCAGTCGTCGAGGGATCGAGCTGGATCCGTCTAAAGTCAAAGCTATTCAGGAATTACCACCACCTAAGAGCAAAAAGGACGTGATGAGCTTCTTAGGACGTCTCAACTATATCAGTCGTTTCATAGCATAGTCCACGGTCATATGTGAGCCCATCTTCAAGATGCTGAGGAAGGATGCCGAAGCAAGCTGGACCGAGGATTGTCAGAAAGCTTTTGACAAGATCAAAGAATACATATCCACACCTCTAGTTCTAGTCCCGCCAGAACCGGGACGACCTTTGTTACTCTATCTATCTGTATTGGATGGAGCCTTCGGATGTGTCTTGGGACAACATGACGAGACATGAAGGAAGGATTAGGCCATATACTACCTGAGTAAGAAGTTCACACCTTACGAAGCATAGTACTCTCTGCTGGAATGCACTTGTTGTGCTTTGACCTGGACAGCTCAGAAATTGAGGCATTACTTCTGTGCCTACACTACATACCTCATATCCAGGATGGACTCTCTGAAGTACATATTCTAGAAACCCATGCCGACTGGAAAGTTAGCCAAATGACAGATAATATTAAGTGAGTTCGATATCGTCTACGTAACCCAAAAGGAGGTCAAGGGACAAGCATTGGCAGATCACCTTGCTGAAAATTCGATAGGAGGAGCATACAAACCTTTGAAAATATATTTTCCTGATGAATAAGTGTCGTTCATAGGAGAAGACATTACCGAAGTATACGACGGTTGGAGGATGTTTTTTGATGGAGCTACAAATTTTAAAGAAGTGGGCATCAGAGCAGTATTGGTATAAGAAACAGGTCAACATTATCCGGCATCTGCTAAACTCAGATTTCCCTGAACTAACAACATGGCGGAATATGAAGCATGCATACTAGGGCTCAGCATGGAAATCGACATGAACATTCAGGAGCTGTTAGTAGTCGGTGATTCATATTTGCTTGTGGAGAAGGTACAAGAAGATTGGTCCACCAAAAATTCCAAGATATTGTCATACCTGCACCATATGGAGGAATTGAGAAAGAGGTTCACGAAGATAGAATTCCGACATGTGCCCAGGATTCAGAATGAGTTTGCCGATGCATTGGCCACCTTGTCATCTATTATACAACATCCAAATAAGAATTATATTGATCCCATTTTGGTGAAAATTCATAATTAGCCAGCATATTTTGCTCATGTTGAAGAAGAAACAAATGGAAAGCCTTGGTTCCATGACATCAAGGAGTATTTATCAAAGGGAGAACATCTGGAGCATGCAAATCACACTCAAAAACGCACACTCCGGAGATTGTCCAAGCACTTCTTCCACAGCGGAGGAAACTTATACATGAGAACTATCGATTTGGGTTTACTAAGATGTGTCGACACAAAGGAAGCTTCTAAGCTACTTGAGGATGTACATGTCGGGACCTGTGGCCCGCACATGAATGGTTTTGTCTTGGCTAAAAAGATACTTAGGGCCAGTTGCATGTCAGGTGCATACCGATATGATAAAAGTGCCGCCAAACGAGCTCAATGCAACAAGCTCACCTTGGTCATTCGTCTCCTGGGGAATGGATGTTATTGGTCCGATTGAGCCCACCGCTTCAAATAGACACATGATTATTCTGGTAGCCATTGATTACTTCACAAAATGGGTAGAGGCTGCATCTTACAAAGCTGTAACCAAGAAAGTCGTCGCAGATTCTGTCAAAGATCGTATTGTCTGCCAATTTGAAGTTCCCGAGTCCATTGTTACTGATAATGCCGCCAACATCAATAGTGATCTGATGAAAGCCATGTGTGAAACTTTCAAAATCAAGCACAAGAATTCCACAACCTACAGACCTCAGATGAATGGAGCCGTAGAAGTCGCCAATAAAAACATCAAGAAGATACTAAGGAAGATGGTAGAGAACCACAAACAATGGCACGAGAAGCTACCTTTTGCTTTATTGGGATACCACACTTGGTTTGTGGTACCGAGGCTATTATCCCAGCCGAGTTAGAGATTCCTTCTTTAAGAATCATACAGGAAACTGAACTCAGCGATGCAGAGTGGATAATGAATTGCTATGAACAATTGGCCCTTATTGATGGAAAGAGGATGAACGCAGTGTGTCACGACCAACTTTATCATACTAGAATGTCCAGAGCTTTCAACAAAAGGGTCAAACCAAGGCAATTTGCACCAGGTCAGTTGGTGCTGAAGAAGATCTTCCCACATCAAGATAAAGCCAAAGGAAAATTCTCTCCCAACTGGCAAGGTCCGTACAAGGTTCACAGGGTCCCGACAGGAGGAGCACTTATACTCATAGAAATGGACGGAGAAATCTGGCCAAAACCAATCAATTCAAATGCAGTGAATAGATACTATGCTTAGATTATTTACATTTCCTCATTTGATGTAATTGAACTACGCTTGAACTGATTCCCGTTTAGGAGGGGATACGTAGGCAACCTTATGGGTTCGGTCATATCATAATAAAATTTCCATTTTTTCCAAGATTAGAAACTGGGGTAAAATTTTGAGGAGGACCCTCAAAATTCCGGAGCAAGTCCAGCCAACGCCATTGCATGCCAGAAAGTCAAAAATTGGTTAAGAAACTGTGGCAGAATTTTTAGAGGGATTCTCAAAATTCCAAAGAAGGTTCAGCAAGACCCATTATCCGCAAATGGCCAAAAGATCATCTACCAAACTGGGGCAGAATTTTGAGGAGGACCCTCAAAATTCCAATATAAGAGAGCTGCAATGCTTTTGAGATATGTTACAGTCACTGGTTCATCAAAAATTACTTATATCAATATGTTTCTAAAAAACTCTATGTTTATGAATAATTGCATATTTTCAAAACTCTATTTTCGTAACAGTCAAGCATCATCCATGGGAACTCGAAAAGGCTTTCCGAATGGATCAAAGCAAAGCCAGCCGACAGAGGCACGAACCAACCTCCCCCCCTCCACACAAACTTGCAATTTTTCTTTGAACGCAGGCATATTTGACGTAGCGATAGCATTCGCAAATATGTATACACAAAGCAGAATTCACTATCAATCCAGACATCAGACATTGAATATATCTCCATCTAAGACATACACTACTCCTATTTGCTACTCACTTTTTGCATGAGGCTAATCCTTGCCTCCCTATTTGCATGAGGCAAATCCCCGCCTCCCTACTTGCATGAGGCTAATCCCGGCCTCCCTACTTGCATGAGGCTAATCCTTGCCTCCATACTTTCATGAGGCTTCCTTGCCTCTCTATTTGTATGAGGCTAATCCTTTCCTCCCTATTTGCATGAGGCTAATCCTTGCCTCCATATTTGCATGAGACTAATCCCTACCTCCCTATCTGCATGAGGCTAATCCTTGCCTCCATATCTGCATGAGGTTAATCCTTGCCTTCATGAGGCTAATCTTTTCCTCCCTATTTTCATGAGGCTAATCCTTGCCTCCATATTTGCATGAGACTAATCCCTACCTCCCTATCTGCATGAGGCTAATCCTTGCCTCCATATCTGTATGAGGTTAATCCTTGCCTTCATGAGGCTAATCCTTGCCTCCATACTCGCATGAGGCTAATACTTGCCTCCCTATTTGCATGAGGCTAATCCTTGCCTCTATATTTGCATGAGGCTAATCCTTGCTTCCCTATTTGCATGAAGCTAATCCTTGCCTCCATACTTCCATGACGCTAATCCTTGCCTCCCTATTTGCATGAGGCTAATCCTTGCCTCCATATTTGCATGAGGATAATCCTTGCTTCCATATTTGCATGAGGCTAATCCCTGCCTCCATATTTGCATGAGGCTAATCCTTGCCTTCATATTTGCATGAGGCTAATCCCTGCAATCATATTTGGATGAGGCTAATCCTTGCCTCCATACTTGCATGAGGCTAATTCCTGCCTCCATATCTGCATGAGGCTAATCCATGCCTCCATATTTGTATGAGGCTAATACTTACCTCCATATCTGCGTGAGGCTAATCCTTTCCTCCATCAACATGGGACTAAGCAATGTCCCTCTTTGCACGAATATTGCTCTATCTCTAGTACTATTTATATGCTTTTCAATTGGGCTAAGTTATGCCCTCCATTTCACAAGACTAAGACTTATCTTGTTAACATCATGTCATTGCATATCAGGAGCTGAAATATCGCCAATCTATCCAAAGGTATCATAGTCTAAAAAGGCATCATCCTCATAGCCGGAAGACACCATGCCATGGCCTGAGGATCTCTGAAACTTGCATATCATTATTCAAAGGCGTCATGGTTCGGAGGCACCATCTTCATGGCCCGAGAACATCATTTCATGGTCTGCGAATCCCTCACTAAATAATTCATGGCCCATGACGTCATGGTCCAAAGACGTCATCTTTAACCGTCCAAAGACAACCTTCATGGTCCAAAGGGAATATGCATCATGTTTAAATTTCCGCACAAATACATGTTTGTAGTATCTTTTATCTGCATGTAACTAGTAAGCAAACGTTATCCTAGTAGGAGCGACCTCACTCCAGCTCCTTCAACTATCTCAAACCCCAACCGCTCACAATAACCGCTTTTGCATCTCGTATCCATTTTTGCAATGACTTCATCGGTATATTTCGCCAATGAATCCAGAACTACACATGGCCTGATTCCTGTAAAACCAGGGATATGTAGGCAACTCGAAGACTGGAGTTCAGCCTCTGTCTCTCAAAGCATCCCGCCCGGTCAAAATTGCCCATCATTTCTTTACCCGAAAACTCTTTCATCATTCTCGGGTAAAGAGGGGCAGCTCTTGATACCCAATTTTTTCTCTATATATTTTTAATACATATATATATATACTTTCAAAATAGCATATATCCATACATAAGCATGCATAAGCATTTTTTATAATTTTTCTATAACTTTAAAGGCTTAAAATTTATTTATTTCTTCCCTTTTACTTATACAAATTTCAATAATTATCCTTCAAATTATTTTTGTTGTGATTTAGTCATATAAATTCTATATTTATGCCAAAATATTGTTTAAATATTTTTAGTGCATTTTTTATAATTGCATTTATATTTTTAAGCTAATTTACAATATTAGCCCTATTAATGCATAATTACGTTGTTGATGCGTAAAATGATCTTTTATATTTTTAACATGTTAAATAACTATTTTAAACCATTTTAGTACACGAAATTATTTTTCAGAAATCATTTATTATTTATTATAAATTATATAGTGTTCAAATGACTATTTAAAATATGGCCTAATTATATTTCAATTTTAGCCCTAATTTAACCTTAATCCTAACACAAATTTCCATCCTAGTACCCAATTAAACAACCCAGGCCCAATACCCATCCGCCCGAACCCAATACCCGGCCAAATCGTGGTTGTTGATCGTTTTGATCAACGGTCCAGGTTTTTCCTTTCCTAATTAAACTAACCTATACCCCCCAAACTTAATTCATTTCACGACCTACCCCGCCACCCTAAAATTCTCTACTATCAATACACTCTCACCTAACCCTAATCCCCAATCTCGCTGACCCTCATCTATGGCTATCTCCGGTGACCTCTCACCATCTCTCAGGCCTCCAATGGCCTCTCTTATATCACTCTTTCCATCTCTAAATCCCTCAAGGGACCAGGGATATGTCGACTTGCATCTAGGGTTCATCTCTCCCCTGTTCCTGGCCATTCCAGTGTGATTTCGAGTGATATCATCCTATATATACCACGATATATGGTTTTCTAAATAGGTTTCTTCATCTCTGTGCGATTCTCTTCGAAACCCTAAGTTCGTTTCTAAACCTCCTAGATCTATACAGATCTAAGACGATTTGAGTTTGTTTCTTGTGTGTTTTACAATAGCTTTGAGACTCTTTACAAGAATCGTATGATTTTAAGTGATTTTTCATCTTTTTCTAAAATTAGGGTTTCCGGAAATTCTTTTTTAAACTTTGTTTAATGATTCTTTGTGTTTAAACTTCTGATTCTCACACATTTTGACTAATTTTATGAACCTTCTGCAACCCTAGCTCGTTTGTACTGAAAACCTTAATTTTTGGGGTTCTTTGTTTGGTTTCTGGATGTTGGTACCTCTGACTGTATTCATGCCTTGGGTTCTTGTGACTTCTCATGATTTATTTGTCCTAGTATGCTTCTACTGAATTTTTTTAGTTCGACCTTTCACTGATATTACGAATTTGTGTTTATACTGACCATTCATACTAAACTTGTATGCTTCTCTTTGAATCAGTGTCGTTTAACCATGGGTTTTGTTAGAGATATTTGAAATCCCGACTTTTCATGCTCTACCTCATTTTATATGCTAAGCATGCTGCTTCTTTCATGATTTTCTGAACCCTGATTAGTCTGAATCCTTTATTTTCTGGTTTAATTTGACCCCTTTCCATCTAACGTTTGATCCTTACTTCTTTACTCAATTTGATTGAATTTACCTGCCTTAATTATTTTTCGTTTCCTTGTTTGCATTCTACTGATTGTTATTGATTTGTTTCCTTAATTAAACTGCTGTGCACTTACCATTAATTACCTATTTTATACCTATGATTTACTTTATTATTTTCCTTAAATACTTAGTATATTTTACTGTTGATTATACTGTCCCTCGATTAAGGGAAGATCTT